TAAAAGGAGAAATCATGAATATTTAAAATAAAATAAATTAAATTTTTTTTGATGATTATGTTGTTAATATACTTAAGTAATAAATATATCTATACATTTTTTAATCTAATTTTTCTTGATAGTTCTACTGTTATTAATTTTTTTTTTGCTGCCCAATGCCAAGATTGATTAGTCGTTCTAATAGGATTCTTTTTAACAAAATTTGAATTAAAAAAATAATATTAATAAATACTAAAAACTTTAAAAATTGAATTTATTAATGAATAAGTGTTTTTTATAAGCTAAATTTACAATTTAAGTCTTAATGCTAACATTTAAAAAATTAAAAATTTTAAATATATCAAACTAATTAAAGCTATTTAAAATTACTTGAAATATAATTAAGTATTTAAGTGTGTGAAAACTGCCAAAGAACATTCTAATAGTAATTAATAAAAAAAAAAATACTAGAGTGGTACATTTTGTAAATTTAGAATAATATGTAATTTAATTTAGAAAGTGTATTATACTTTTACTTTTTTATTTATTTTGAAGTGATCCCACTTGCCATGCAATTGCCAGCACAACTCTAAAACCCACAAAATGAAGGCTCCGTTAGTTTTTTGACGGAACAATGCGTCAACCGTCAGACAAGGGCTCATTTGCCACTGTTGAAGAGTATAAGCGGTGGTATGCTTCTGAATTTGATTTAGGGGCTAATCTGCCACTGATAATCAAGTTTAAGGGGTATTTTGCATGATTTGCCAAAAACAAATCATACAAGGTGCATATTAATGTCTAAAATAGAACAATGACAGCAGAAGAGAGTATCATTAATAAGATATGCATTTGATTAAGCTTCTTGTGTGTAATTCACCTTGTATGTAACCTTTCCTAATTCATAACCTTAGCTTATTAATGAGTTATGTTTTTGTCTTCTATTGACTCAGCAAATGTTCTGGGATGCTTTAACTACTAAAAAGGCTTTAGTGAAGGGTTGTGAGTAGGTAGCGATTTGGTTTGGAGATGCTGAAATAGGGTCTAACAAAGAATCTATGCAAAGTCTTCTTCCTTCTACAACTGCCACAACCATGGGGTGTGAAATTTTGCGAACAGAAGCTGGAGGTGATTCTGGATGGGAACTTTTGTAAATAATTGTAGAAGGGGTTGCAGCTCAATGTAACTGGATTCAACCCCAGGCCCCATGCTTGTCCAGACAAAATCATTGTAACATGGGTGATATGTCTATTGAAAGAACCCTTTCATAAGTGGTAAAAACATTGCAACTTGTTCATGGCATTTTTGGTTTGCACTTTTCTCTAATATGGACAACTCCATACCTGGCTATGCTTTGCCCTTGTCGCATTGCTGCATCAACATTGATCTTAATGGAATCTCCTTGAGGAGGTCGCCGTAATACCATAGGTTGCACATTCCTTCCTTGTCTCAATTCTAGTGTCCTTCCTCCCCAATGTTTCTATATTCAGCAATGTATTCAAAGATCCGTTTTATATTCTAATCCCGAACATTGATCTTTAGTTATTGTAAATTGTCATGAACTACTCTTATTGATGACCAGACTAGATCTAGCTGCCCAGTAAACAATGCTTCTTAAATTGGATATGTCTCACTGAAGCAGTTCTCGTGGCTGCCTGGCTTCCATTCCATTCCCAGCTCTTGAAAGATGCAGCTATAATCATGATCTTCTTAACTTCGGGATTTGGGATATATTTGTTTCTTAATAGAAAATTGTAAGTGAAACATACCACAGATCTGTAGTGGACATAGTCAAGAAGAAGACCCTCTGAACTGAAGGATTGATGTAGGATTCTAACTAATTTTCCAGGTTTCCATGTCTGAAAACCGAAAAACCCAAAACCTGGGAAGAAAGATCAATCTGTTGGATTCCAGAATGTATGCTCAAATTAAAAACTTGCTCTTGCAGCACAAGTTAGCAGAAT